TGCTGTTTTTGTTGTTGATGATATCAAGTTTTAATCCATGGTGGTCTAATGGCATAGAGGGAGCTATTTCAGTTTTCTTGTATCTGTTGAGACTGGCTTTGTGACCCAGTATGTGTTCAATTTTGGAGAAAGTTCCATGAAGTGCAGAGTCAAAGGTAGATGTTTTTGTATTTGGGTGAAATGATCTTTAAATGTCTGTTAGGTCACTTTGGCTTATAATGTCTGTTAGCTTCAGTATTTCTGTTTAGCTTTTTCTGGATGATCTGTCCACTGATGAGAGTGAGTTTGGAGTCTTCCATTATCAGTGTGTGGGGTCAATATGTGATTTAAGCTGCACTAGTGCTTATTTTCCAAACTTGGGTGCCCTTGTGTTTGGGGCAGAGATGTTAAGAATTTAAATGTCCTCTCAGTGGGTTTTTCCCTTGGTGAGTATGCAGTGCCCTCCCCCATCTCTTTTGATTGGTTTTGGATTGAAGTCTACTTTGTTAGATAGTAAAATGGCTACACCAGCTTGCATATTAGGTCCATTTTCTTGAGTATCTTTTCCACTCCTTCACTTTGAGATGATGACTATTCTTGATTTAGAGGTGTGTCTCTTGGATGCAGCAGAAAGATGTGCCCTGTTTTCATATACATTTTGTTAGTCTGTCTCTTTAAATTGGGAAAATAAAACCATATATATTGAGAGGTATCAATGACCCATGATTATTGAATTCTGTTATTTTGGTGATAATGGTGGTGGTGGTGGTGGTGGTGGTGGTGGTGATGGTGTGTGTGTGTGTGTATGTGTGGGTTTCCCTTCTTTTGATTTTGCTGGTGTATGATTATTTATAATGATTTTATGTGTGTATCTAACCTTCACTTGGAGTTTTCTTTCTAGTACCTTTTGTAGGGCTGGATTTACAGACAGATATTGTTTTAATCTGAATTTATCATGAAATATCTTATTCTCTCCATCTATCATGATTGAAAGTTTTGCTGGGTATGGTAGTCTGGGCTGGCATCTTTGGTCTCTTAGAGTCTGGAGCAAATCTGTCCAGGCCCTTCTGGATTTAGCATCTTTCTTGAGAAGTCCGATGTTAATTCTGATAGGTCTGCCTTTATGTGGTACTTGGTCTTTTCCCTTGTAGCTTTTAATATTCTTTCTTTTTGTTCTGTATGTTTAGTATTTAAATTATTATGTGGCAAGGGGTCTTTCTTTCCTGGTCCAGTATATCTGGTATTCTGTGGTTCTTATATCTTTATAGGCATCTCCTTTTGGCTAGGAAAATTTTTTGTCTATGATTTTGTTGAAAACATGTTCTGATCCTTTGAGCTGAGTTTCTTCTCTTTCCTCTTAATAATAATTCTGATTTTTCTTAGATTTAGTCTTTTCATAGTGTCCCAGATTTCCTGGACGTTTTATGTCGGGAACCTTTTAGATTTCACTTTTTCTTTAACTGATGTATCCACTTTTTCTATCGTTATCTTCTAAGCCAGAGATTCTCTCTTCCATCTCTTGTAATCTGCTGGTGAAGCTTACCTCTGCAGTTCCAGTTTGAGTTCCTAATTTTTCATTTCCCCACTTCTCTCAGTTTGGGTTTTCTTTATTGATCATATTTCTAATTTCAAGTTTTGAACAATTTTATATATTTCCTTACACTGGTTTGTTTTCCTGGATTTCTTATTTATTAGTTTCCTCTTTAAGGACTTCTATCATATCTTAAATGTTGGTTTAAGGTATTTATCTTGTGCTTCAGCTATGTTGGAATACTCAGGGCCTGTTGTAGCAAAATTAGCTAGATTCTAGTAGAGACATACTGTTCTTGCTGTTGTTGATTGTGTTTTTATGCTGGCATATCCATATCTGGGTTTGGAATGATTAAAGATCTAGGTGCTAGTTTCTGGATTTGTCTTCATTAGGTGAGTTCTTGTTCCTTGGTTTCTGTTTCTCCTCTGCATTCTGGAGAGTGTGATAGCTGTGTGTTGCCTGTTTTCCTGACCTGTTCAACTGGTGTGTTCACAGGTAGTGCTTGATGGTGTTGGAGCCTGCGATACTGGGGTGAGTTGGGAGAAGGAAGGTTGGAGAAGAAGATATTTGTGATCCCTTGGGGATAAGGTCAGAGAGGAGAGGGAGACCACAGGAGGTTTTTATCCGCAGAGCTGAAGATGAGACTGGGGGTATTGGATCTCAGGAGTAGCAGGGGTGGGGTGAGTCTACCTTCAGCCTGCTTGTTGCCCTGGGAGGAACAGCCCTTAGGCTAGCAAGGGGGGCCTGCTGAGTTGGGTCTGGGATACAGTGATGAGTGGAGAAATGGAGGTGGGGTGGGGATGATGTGTGAGATCCACAGGAGATGCAGGCAGGAGGGAAGGAAGGCTGCAGCTGGTGTTCTGTTGCAGCGCTAATGATGAGACTGTGGTATTGGGGCTGGAGCAACAGAGACAGAAGGTCTGTGGGCAGCCTACCTGGTCTTCTGGCAGGTGTGGCTTGTGGTGTAGCATGGTGTTCCTGCTGGAGCTGGGGGGTGGGATACAGTTGATGAGTGAGCACGGGGAGTTCAGGAGGGGAGCCTGCAGGACTGGGACTAGACTGCAGGTTGGGTCTGAGGCAACAGAGAGACAGAAGAGGGTCTGTGGATGGCCTACTTGATTTTCTGACAGGCTGTTTGCTGTGGGATGGTCTTTCTGTATACTGTGAATATGTGTTGCTACCATTGGTTAATAAAGAAGCCTATGGCAAGACAGATTGGAGCCAGGCAGGAAATCCAAACAAAGATACATAGAGAAGAAAGGTAGAATCAGGGAAGATGCTGTGGGCTGCAGAGGGAGGAAGATGTAATGGAACACAGGTAAAGCCACAAGACACGTGGTGATGCATAGATTGATAGAAATAGGTTAATTTAAGATAAAAGAGCTAGTTAGCAATAAGCTTGAGCCATAGACCAAACATTTTGTAATTAAAAGAAGCCTCTGTGTGTTTAATTGGGACTGAGTGGCTGTGGAACACAAGAAAACTTCCTGTTACAGCTGGTCTTTTTTGTTTTTAAATGAAGTAAGGCATGTCCTTCCACAGGCGCAGAACCATAGGAACTAGTAGTTCTAAAAATGACCTACACTGACCTGTCTTTGTAAGCTCTGCATTAGGTGGCCCGCTAAGTGCAGGCCTCACGTCGGCACCACTAAGTAGCTCACAAGGAAGCCACCAGGCGTGTCCTACCACATAGCTTTCCACTCCCAGTCTCTGGGGAGTCTGTGCTCACTTCATGTTGTGTGTGACACATTCGGATAGCCTGGGGCCCTGTTCACCCACTGTTCTTGTCTCTGCTCAGCTGCCTAGATGCACCCCTCACCCACTCCTGCTCTGCTTCACACGTGCCTTCTTTAGTTGTGAACAGGTCATGTCATGCTCGCTCCCACTCAGAACTTTGATGTTGTATGCTGTCCCTCCTATGGGACTCTCACTAGAAATGTGCCTCTTGGCTAACATCATTCAGGCTCCGAGGTTTCTCTGATTCTTGTCACACAAATCCAAGCAAACAAGTAATAATAACTTGGGCTGGTCCTCACCATTGCAGCACAGCCTGTATCTGTGGTTTGGGACAAACAGAAAACTCGTTATTTACAAACAGAGAACAAAAGATAATTTTAAACAGCAGACCCTAGTTGTTAACATCTAGATAGCTAATATATAGATTTGCTTACAAATGTCATTATTTCTATGCAGTATTGTTTGTGTCTTTAAGGAATCTGGATCTAGAATGTTACCTTTAGGAACAGTGTTAGTAAATGTGTTGACTTCTCCATCCTGTGTTCTTGCACATCCTCTACTATTCCTTGGGTTCTTTCAATGGGAAAACTTGGTAAGTAAGATCTACTGTGAGCACTCTACATGTAAACTGGTGTGTGCAGCCAATGCTAACTTTCAGGTATCTGTGATAGGAAAACATTTATGCTTTTCAGTTTCTAAAGTTGGCCATTTTTACAGTGGGTTCTATTGCATTTCACATGGCTCTGGGCAAGATGTTTAAGGTCGACTATTTTCCTCTTTTACAAATTAGCTGCAGTAGATTATTTTCATAGTGAAAGCATACAATAGTGTCAAGGTTTAGTTCTATTGAAAATCAATGGTTTTCTCTGAAAAGCATTTAACATTTTTCATCTTTTGCAAGGATAAGTGTTGGCGAAATTTAATAAGTCCAGAATTCTAGAGGTAGTGGCTTATAACTGAAATGCGTCTCTCAACCTGTGACATTCCAGGACTGGTAACAAGGATGAGGGAGAAGCTTTCCAACCCCTTACACCTTAGAGCCCTTGGCATGCAGCTGGCATCTGGAAGAGTAACTGCTTCCTATATCTTAAAGCATAGATGTGGTAGTGGCATTGTCCCTCTGTTCCCAGTGAGCATGTCACAGAGCCACTGTTGGATGGAAGATGGATAGAGAGGTCCCAGAGAAAGCAGCCATTCCCCACGACAGAGTCATTGTGGAAGAGGAACAAAGGTATCTATGTGTGGCCTGCTGTCTCCACCACAGAAACCTTAGTGCTGTGTAGCTGGCATTGCCAGCCAAGTGCCATGCCCAGTCACAGTATGTGCCCTTTTCTTTCAGTTACCTTATGTGTCTTTCAGACATTTAATCATGTCCAAACCTCATACAGTTACATCATTTCATATATGGTTACTTTGAAGTTTTCATTCATCTCACAATTCCTATAATTATTTGCTTGTAGTCCTCTTACAAATAGAAGCAGAGTCATCTGTCCATTATATCACTGCTACCCACATGAACTACCAGGAGACTCTCAGCAGGTTATTTTGAATTAATGAAGTATTAAATCCACATTGTAATATATTATCTCCTCAGGAGTAACCTATGTTACAAATGTTCTCTGGTTTTTTGTTTTTGTTTTTTTTTTTTGTTTTTTTTTTATTGTTTGTTTAGTTTTTTTTTTTTTTGAGGGATGGGGGAGTGGCTGAATAAGCCAAGACAAAAGTAAAGTTCCTTCTTTTTCTTTTCATTAAGGACATGATGCCATCGTCACACTTCTGAAGCACTATAAGAGACCCCAGGATGAGCTGCCATGTAATGAATATTCCCAGCCTGGAGGAGGTACCCTCTTTGCTATTGTGTTTCATCGCTGTACAGTATTGAATCCAGGGGTAAATATGTGCTGCTGCTGCTATCCCCGAGTGTTGAGGAAGGAGGATGTAGCTAAGTGATGAGACTTGTTTCTGGAAAGTTTATATCCAGGTGAGGCTACACAAAGAATAGTCACCGCCATCACCTGTAGTTCCTTCAAGCTCAGCATTTCTTGGACTGAATGGGCATGGGGCTTGTACAAGGCTGGGGCGGCCTGGGGAAGCAGAGAACAGTCATTTTACATGTCGATAATTTACTAAGATGAGAAAAGAGATACAAATCACATTGCTGTAGTCTTCTGAAACAGAATTAGAAACGTTTTATGCAGATCTAGACAAGTGTGCACAGTGCAGTGTAGCATGAATCTTAAAAGTTCTTATTAATAAAATCAAACCTGAGGCCAGGTATTGGGGTGAACACTGGAAGATCAGAGAAGCAGAACAAGCCACAGCCACCTCACCTCGCCAGTTCCTCAGCTGATCCTGTTTTCTCAGACTGGAATCTTCTGAGTCCTCATCCAAATGGATCTTAGCTGAACTGTGCTGCTCAAAGCCTAAAAGCTTAACCAGCCAAATGTTTCTAGCTTCTGGTTTTCACGCCTTACATACCTTTCTGTTTTCTGCCATCGGTCCTGGAATAAAAGGCGTGAGTCACCATGCTTGGCTGTATCCTTGAAATCACAGAGATCCAGGTAGATCTCTGCCTCTGGAATGCTAGGATTAAAGGCGTGTGCTACCACCACCTAAACTCTATGTTTAATATTGTGGCTGTCCTGTTCTCTGACCCCAGATAAGTTTATTAGAGTACATAATATTTCGGGGAACACAATACCACCACAGTGCAGCTCCCCATCCAGAAGGAGACTCGGACCTTAAGCTAGCTCACTTTGACTTCATTGTCTGCTACAATTTTGTCATGCTGAACTTTATGGAGAAGGAAATGATGCTGCCTTCAGCTCTGCTGTGTCCTTTGATTCTAGACGGCTCCTATGTGTCTGTTCCATCCCCCCTGGGGAAGATCAAAAGCATGACGAAAGGTACTTACCAATGGGTGGTTGTTGTTTTGTTGCTGAGGGTGATTATTGCTTACATGTGACAAGCACGTGTTTTGTTTTGTTGTGTGAGTGATGACAACTTCACTAGTCTAAACAATACTGGCTGCAGTCTACTCTTCTCATAATTAGCCTTGTCTTTATGCCCTTTAGTCAACAGTTATAAAGTACTATTTATATATTTATATTTTGAACAAAATATTAATTACAAATATTAATATTTTAGAAGAATTGAAAATATATTTGCTTTAGAAAATATTCAGATTATTAAATTATTATTTTTTAAATATCTCAAATAAGGGACACTAAGGTAATTTTTTGAAAGCATGCAGAATGTTGAAATTACCATCACTAAACTAGGAAAGTATAAAACACAATTCCATGACAAATTAATATTTAACCACTTGGAATTTGTACTTTTAAAAGTCCTTTTTGGTGTGGGGTATTTCCTTAGATTGATTCCTGTGCTTATTACCTGCCATTTAATGGGTATCCCCTAAAGGCCCAATTTATCAATAATCGATAGTTGACTTCCTTATTGATGTAGGTTGAAGGGATTGACTGGGTTTCTCAGGCTGTGAAGCAAGCCATACTGGAGAGTGGCTGTGTCTCCAGCCTTGCTAACTGAAGATCAGATGAGCAAAAAGCTCAGCCTTGATCACAGAGATTGCCTGAGACAGAAGAAGGTGGTTCTGGTGATACAGGCCTGGGGAGCATGCATGCTTGGTTCTTAGCATCTCCAAGTGAGCTGGTGCAGTTGGGAGGAAGCAGTTGTGAGAAGCACCTGTTGTGGAGCAAGCCCATTGTGTATTCACATCCATGTGTGCACATCCCCCAAGTAAAAAGGCAATTACTGTTCGCAGAGAAAGCTGATGTCCTCCTCCTGAGGGCTGGATTGCCCTCCCGTTTCCATCTCCAGCTCTCTGAAATTGAGTTCCACGAGATTATCGGCTCAGGTAAGCTAAGAAACCAGAGCTCTGCTACAGCGTAACAATCTCTAACTCACTGTAGCCAACATTTACCAACTTCTCTTGAATAATCGTAGGTTCTTTCGGGAAAGTCTATAAAGGGCGGTGCAGGAATAAAATAGTGGCAATCAAACGGTAAGCGAGCAGACGAGAGAAATCTGCCTGGGGGCGGAAGGGCAGGGCAGCCTGAAAACTGCTGTTGACAAGAACAGTTCTCTGCTCTTCTCCTAGATACCGAGCCAACACCTACTGCTCTAAGTCAGATGTGGATATGTTTTGCCGAGAGGTGTCCATCCTCTGCCAGCTCAACCACCCTTGTGTGGTTCAGTTTGTGGGAGCCTGCCTGGAGGACCCCAGCCAGTTTGCCATTGTCACGCAGTACATACCAGGAGGCTCTCTCTTCTCCCTCCTTCATGAACAGAAGAGGTATTGGCTCTGTCCACATTCACCTTGAACCCAGCACAAGAATCATCTTTGCCGTAGTGCCTGGGCTTTCTGATCAGTGATCTTTGGCCTTCTGACAGCTCTGAGTGTTAACATGTGTGGCATTTTAAACACAGCTGATGATTTATGAATAATTATTATATTTCAAGAAATGAAATCAAGTAATTTCTCAACAGGAAGTCAAAGGTGACAGATTCAAGGAATTTAAGTTGCTACTGGAAGTTTATAAATAGACCGACCTTGACATACCAACAAAGTAGATGTATGGAAGCTCAGAATAAAATAACCAGCCAGGGTCACAGTACTGACAAGAGGAAGCCTTAAAAAAGAATGCTCTTGTCGATGTCTAACCTGAGTTCATGTTCTAGATCTCTACTGATAGTAACTAGGAAGTGGTTTTCCTCAGTGCCTCCAGAACATTCCATTTGTGTGTTATTATCATGAATTTCTGTATGACACAAATAAATTAGAAAATCAAGTACCATATTTTTAAACTAATATCTGAAATGACAGATCCCAACTGTGCAATCCGTTTGCCAGGCTGAATTTTTAGCTCCATCTTCAATGAATAAAAAATTAGATAGAGTTACAGAGAATAACAATCATGAGCTGTTTTCTTTCACAAGACATGCTGAGTGTTGGCTTCAACCAATTCATCTCCATTCAATCTATTTTCTGTTCTAGAATTCTTGACCTGCAGTCTAAACTAATTATTGCTGTAGACGTTGCCAAAGGTATGGAGTACCTGCACAGCTTGACCCAGCCAATCATCCACCGAGACCTAAACAGGTATTTGGCTTTCCTAAATGATGAACTTATAACTCTGTAGTTAACAAGGAGCCCAACATGACTTGGTAAGGACATGTTTTAGATTTATCTTAGGTTAGAGTTTTCTGCATACTCTCTGAAAGGGAATAGGTCACTGCCATTGTGTCACAGAAATATAAAGCTGTATAACTGTTTCTCAGGGACTATCTGAATCTATGGAATGTTCAGAAAGATGGCACTGTGCATAAGATGTGGGACATGATAATGTTTCCATCAAGGATAACTGTGCCTCACAGAAGATATTTTCTGGCCTTGCTGACAACAATACTTTAGGCTGCCAACCAGACAAAAACCCAGCACCTGTGATTATCTACGGCGCTTGGAATTTGATAATGATAATTAAAAAATAAGTTGCATATTTATGTACTTAATGCACTACAATTTCTGCCATATTTTATAATTTCATCATATTTATTGTAAAACAATACAGCATGTTATGCTGTCAGTAGCCTCATGTGTCTTGTATCGACTGCATCTCTTGGCTGTGTCATCAGGCCACATGTATGGTCTAACCAACACCACCCAGACTTGTGCATGTGCACACACTGTGACACAATGTCCTCATCACACTGACAGGAATGCCTGATGTTAGGAAGTATGTGACTGGAATTATCATGCCAGTGGTTGGGCCAGTGAGTAACCTCGGTGACTATGAAGGATGTCCCCCTGTCTCATACAAAGCTGGGATTAGAGGATCTTAGCTGACATGTTCCTTGGTACTGCCATTTTGGTATTTTTGTACTCGTAAATTCAGCCAAACCACAGCAGGATAGTTACCTAGTTTTCATGCAAAATGCTTTCATGTTGAATTGAGCATGAGACAAATATATAATCAAAGTTCTGCACAGAGCTGGGACCCCAAGAGGTTTCAATGCTTTACTTAAACAGTGAAAACTTTCTCTGAATAAAGTCTTGGTACAAGCCGTGGCCAGTATGCAAAATAGAGCAGTTTTGACTGAAGGCTGAATGTTGAAGTGGAAAACTTCCTTCACTTACCCACTTCCCACTGCTGAAGAGTCAGACCCACAGCAACGTCAGAGGGGCCCCCAGTCTGCTGCACAGACAAGTAGACAGTCACTGGTCTGTCTGTTCTATACCAACAACTCCCACTTCGTGACTGTGAATGAGAGTCGTATAAATCATGGATATCATTTAAAACTTTTACATATTAAGAAATCACTTTATTTAATCACTTGATCGACAACCACGTGGGCATGGGCTATGCTTAGAGCCAGTTCCATTTGGTGCATTTCCATGTGAAAAATGAAACTTACATACATCCTACTCTCAAACTTCCCAGGAGATTTCACATCATAACAGAAATAAAAAAAATACTTATCCAAATATATTTTAAGCAAGTTAAATATATTTAACATCAAGCTCTATAAAATATAAGCAGTGAAATTTTTTATAAAATTCAAGAAAGAATGTTAATCAGTTCAGAGGAGTTTAGAGATAGCTCCATGGATGAAGTGACATATCACTCATTCCCTAGGGATGAATAAATCTGGAAGAGCATCCCAGGGGTAGGGAGAGACTTATCAAATAGAGATCAAAAGGTGAAACATATGTAGAGGAACTATAAGGAGCTCCCTTTTAGTGTACAGGATAAAAAGGTGTGCATGTGTGTGAACACTGGGAAAGAAGTAGAGAAATTAGAGCGAGAAATAAATCGGTGCGTGCGGGACAAGGAAGGCTGGTTCAGTGCTCTTCTGCCAGCAAGAAGGAGCCCTGAGGATGTTTCTGCTGCAATCACAGACCAGAGGTTTTGTTATGGAAAGACCAAACTGTCTGGTGGATTCTCCATGAGGATCCAGTCAAGAACCTGATGAGACAGTTATTGCAGCAGTCTAGGCAAGAAGTTAATTAAAAACAGGAGAGCAGTAGTAGGAAGTGAAATGAAAGGAAAAGATAGGCGTGAAAAGCAAGAAAGAGAAAATGAGCTGAGTAGAGTTGGTAGATTCTAATGTTGGAAGTAAATTGTATGAGAACTTATAGTTTCTTAGTTTTAAGAACTCATGTCTTCACTTAGTTATTAGTTCTTTTTTTTTTTTTTTGCCTTTTCAAACTTACTTATTCTTTGAGCTTTAGTAACAATATTTAGGGAAAAGGTTTCAATGGGGAACTGACAGTGAACTGGGGACTTTGGGCATGGAGGTTATCACTGTCTGTTCCCATCATCTTGTGTGGAAGCAGAGCACAAGTGGCGGCTGCCAATGTCCTCCAGCATTCCTTCCCCAAGTGTAGCCTATTGCCTTGTCAGTAAATGTAAGTTATTAGCATCAGCTACTCAGTAGGACCGAAAATATAAATATTGATTAGATATGAAAATAAAACATTTATTAGATAACAAAACCAAGCTTATTTTACCTTATTTTTCCTGAGTATAATCTAACCATAGAGCTTAAATCTTCCAAAACTCTTCAAATTTTATGAAACGTGCATAGGGACCTGACTCTTGTATCTACTTTTGAAAACTCTTTTCTACACATCTTCAGCCAACAACAATAAAACTTTGATTTTTTTATATTTATGTAGATATGACATTGTACATGACTCAAAGTCACATGCTTCATACACCATGGGGCTTACTACAATTTATTTATATATACAATAAGTCATATACTAAGGAAACAACTAAATCTCCACTTTGAATAGGACATGACTGAGGATCGAAATGATTTGAAAGCAGCTTTCAAGAGAATCTAAGCATGTAAAAGTTCACAGTGTAGTAAAAAGCTTGCGTAGGATGCAACGCTAGAAAAACAGGCCTGGATCTTTTCTAAGGATACACACTTTGCAATTCCTCAGTATTCAAGTCTCCCTGGAACAGGCAGAGGTGCTCAGATGCCAGCTTGCCTTTGAATTGATATGATTGTTGATTGCTTATGGTTTTACCTCCCTAACTGCTCCATACATCAGATGGCTTCAGGGTCAGAGAGGTTGCTCTCTCCTCTGACCGGCTGAGATCGGAGCCTTGTATTCATATGTGGAGATTGCTCAATCAAAGTATGTTTAGATAAATTCTTGAGGCATTAGGGATGCCACTGTAGTAATAAAAAAGGGGTTTTTTTTAAAGTGGAAGGGTTAATTTATACAATTATGCCTATTTCCCAATAGAGTCTTGAGGAATCACTCAATGGCTTTCATAATTATAAAGGAAGTGGCTGTAGGAGATGGCTGACCAACCTGCAGAAAGGCGACACTTCCATATTGAGGATGGAGGTTGTTAGTTCAGCAAAAGAAAATAGAAAACTACTTTTCTCTTGGCCAGAAAGATCTCTCTGTGGCTTTTTATTATATCCTTAACATTAATTTCAGTCTTCAATATATACTAAAGAGAAGGTTCAAGGGATAAGTAAAGGTTATATTTTCAGTAAACACAAGAATGAGGGAGGGGTGAGCTGCCATGTGTTTAACAGCTGCAGTGCACAGGAGAGCTCTGCTTAAGAGGTGGCTGTGCTCTCATGGAGCCTGTAGTGTTGTTTATCTCCATTGTATAGACAATGAGCTGAGGAAAGAGACCAATCTAGAGCCTCCTTCTTAGAACAAGCCTCACTCTACATTGTAATGGAACATAGAGTCATCTCAGAAGACAGAGAGAGAACAGTTGGTAGTGATGGTATTTGTCATGATTAACTTTATCAAATGACATCACTTAAAATCAGCTGAGGAGAGCTCAGTGAGGATTGTCTACTTCTTTGGCCTGTGCGTATATCTCTGGGGATTGCTTTAGTAAACCGAGAATGAAGATGGAGCCCTCCACAAGCAGTCTATAGAGTTTAAATATTTTTAAACTATTCACAGTTTTATTCAGGAGTGCTCTGATTTCTTAGGGATCAACTTAAACCTTAACCCAATTTACATATTCATTTCACGAAACTGGCTCTTAAGGTCACAGTTAACAGCTAAGGGCTTTAAAACTTTGTGCTTGTCTGTTCTCTTGGACAAGGGTATTTCTAAACTGTTAGAAAATGGTGACATCATGGCAAACAGATGTGGATTAAATGGGTGGTCTTCTCTCCAGATAAGTCTACTTTATCCTTTAACAGCACCATAGGAACTGTGTGTGTGTGTGTGTGTGTGTGTGTGTGTGTGTGTGTGTGTGTGTGTGTGTTTTGCACTACACAGATATGCATCTTGTTCTTCTTACCTCATTTATTCTCTTACATAGGAAAGGGATTATAAAACTACTCTATTAGGTTGGATATGGTGGTGAATACCTGTAATCTCAGGCCCTAGGAGGTAGCTGTTGGATTATGTTAAGAGGCCTGGGATGAATAGTTTGAGGCCAGCTTTGGCTGCATATTGAGACCCTGTCTTAACTGAAACAAAATGAAACAAAACAGAAACCTCTACATCACATTTAACAAATATTTCTTCTCAGAAAGTAGAACTAAATTGTCTTCAGTGTAATTCTAAGGACTCTGCTGGCATTTTGAGAACCATCTTATTCCAGTAAATATAAAGGAAAAATTACAGATAATTTAAAAACAGAAAACTTTCTGGTGATGAGTGACAGGTCATTTAAAAAGACAAGCCTAGTAAGGGCTAAATGCATTTAAATAAGTTTGTGAAGATTTTAGGAAATAACAAAGAAAAAAGGAGAAAAATTTAATAGTTGTTTTTAACTTGACATGTGCATTTGCCTTTCAATTGAATACAAAATACAAAACTGCAATTAAAAACCTCAACAGTCAAACAAAGTAATTTATTGTTTTTCTAGTTATCCATCAGGCATGGTCCCTGTTTGCAGGGATGGAATCTGATGACTGTCCACTACAGTTTGTGGTGATACAGAAGGATATTAGCATTTGTGGACAATACTGTCTTGAGAACTCTAATGCCCAAATACAGACCACAGAAATGATTCTGGCGCAGGTATCTGAAGTCCACAGGACCCAGTGGACACGTATGAAGCTGCTGACAGCTCTGGCTTTGTAGATGTCTCGTTTAAATCC